ATTCTTTGAATTATTTGAAATATATTGTAATTTAGTTGTTATATTCTTCTTACTGATTCATTTTAATTACTTTCATTATTTTTATTTCTAATTTGTTTCTAAAATGATCACTACAATGAAAAGAAGAATGATGAAATGGCATATCATTTTTGTTTAATTATATACTTTAAATGTTGGTTGTTGTTTACTCTCAATACAAAATAAAAAGAGAGAAAATTAAAAAAGATAATAACCAATCAGAGAAGTAAATAAAATTAAGAAATTAGAAGAAAAATAAATCATTTCTAATGAAACAATGATAAAATCATAAATAAAGAATAATATAGTTACAACTAATTAATGAAAATGGCAAATTAACAATAAAAGTAAAATAAAAGAATAAGAGAAATAGAAATCATAGAAAAATGAGAAGTAATAATGTCATCTGAAATCACTATGATATTGTGACAAGTAGAAGAAAGAGATCAACCAAAATAATCACCAAATAATAAAAATAAGAAAAAGGCTAATAACAAACAACAAGAACACAATACCAAATAATATCAAAGCAAGATGACAAAGGAATGGAGAAACGAAAAAGGTGTTGACAATAAATACATAACAACGATGGGACCATCACCAATGAATATGAAAATGAAAGAAATTACAAGAATAAAAAATATAGAAATAAAGATAAATGAATTAAGTAAATAAGATATAACAAACACACAATAAGAAATGACATATAAGAAAATAAAGGAATATAGTAATAACAAATAAATGGTTTAGAATTAGTTTGTTAAATATAATAGAGAATATTTGAAGAAAAGTATAAGTATACAGAAGATAGATGAAATAAAATATGATAAAATAAACCCAATAAATTTCAATAAACATAGCAATGAATGAAGAAAGTATTAAATTAATAAAAATTGAAAACAACGAGGTCATAAAAGAATCAAAAACTTTTAATAAAGAGATATATACTATGGATTCGTGTTTCCATCATAATGAAACATACTGTAAAGAGTTTATTAACAATAAGATGATTGAATTAATCTTAAGAAATCAAAGAAAAATAAAAGATAACAATTCTATTTACACCAAACAAATTACTTTTTATTATCCTTCACTTTAAATTAACCAAAATACAAGAAAGAAATTTAATTATTTATTTAGTATTATCCCATCTCCTGAAAAAAAAGAAATCAGTTATATGTTAATTACTAATGTCGTTTTCTATCTCTTCTTCTGCTCTAAAATCAAAAGATTGAATTAATTGATTCTCATTAAAATGCTTATTCTCTCTTTTTCTTTAACTTTTTTAATGAAAAAATTATAAATAGTACCAAAACCTTTAGTACTAATTTTGAGTCTCTCTGAAAATTCTTCTAGTAACTTATCAAGGGGTTTGTATTATTAAATAATTTATTTGTTCTATCACTAATATTATTTACTTTATAACTTAGTATATTTATCAGCACATTTACCTACAATTTACTGTGGTAAAGGTTATCCTTTATCGTGGAATAGTTTTAAAAGTTCTTTTATATCATCTCCTTTTGTCTCGTTTGAATTATTAAATTTAATTATATTCTCTCAGGAGTGTACTTTCAATATGACAAACTTCTTCTTTTAAGTTTTGAGTTTCTTCTTCTTTTTTAATGATTTGTCTTTGAGTGTTGACACCACCCTTTTTCCTTTTGGTTGTTATTTGGAGAAAAGTGGTTTTTGATAACTCTTATTTGTTTTTGAAAAACTCTAATCTTTTTCTTTTTGTGCTTCTTATTGTTTTTTAGTTTATTGACCTCTGTTATATGTTTGTTGTTGTCTGAGTCTTGTTGTCTCTCTTGAGACATACCTTCCATTAAAAGATGTCCCTCAATTTTATGTTTAAAAGATAAAAATCTGTTATTTGGTATTGTTTTATAGATTTATTATCATTAATTTTTTTCTTTTTATTTTTATGTTTTTGATTATTTTTTTAAGTTATTTGTTTAGGAAATTCATTTCTGGTTTGATTAAGACACCAAAAAATAATCAATAAACAAATTGTATAATTTATAGTATTTTATTTATTTGGTTATTTAATTTTATTGTTAATTTAATGAACATCATTATTTATGACTATCATTATAATTGTTTCATTTCTTTTATTGTTCATTTTATATTTCTTGTTATTTTCTTTTCTTATATTTAATAACTATTCAAATACTTGAGTTTGATTTTTATTTTTAATAATGAACATTTCTTTATAATTTATGATGTTTTTAATTATTTCATATTTATTTATGTTTTAAATGTTTTAAATAATTAAAATTATATTAAATTATCATTTATTATTGAATAAATGATAATGTTAATAATTATTTTAAGAATGAACATTATCATTAATCTGTTATTTTATTAAATAGAAATGAATATTTCATTTATATATTATTTATTATTCATTTGTTATTAATTATTATATTTATATTTCATTTTTATTTTAATTTGAATGACAATATTTATTTAAATTAATGTTATTAAATGATATCATTATTTAATTTAGAAGATTATTTGTATTTTTGTCAAAATTAAAAGTAATTGTAATAATGAATCTAAATATTAATATATAAATTATTCATATAATGAATTAAATTATCATTATTGATATTTCTATTTATTTTAAAATAACTGTAATTGATTTATTATAATTAAATATGATAATGTTAAGAAATAATGAATAGATATTAGAAATATAAATAATAATAATAATAATGAAGATAATATTATTAATTAAATATACTTCTTTATTATGATTATAAATATAAAATAATAAATACAATGTTAATATAAATGAAATATATATCTATTATTATTTAATCAAATAGAAAATGATGATATATTAATTAAGCAATGAAAATAATATTAAAGAAAGAAAATAAAGAATAAAAAGAATAAATATAAAGAATATAAGAGAAAATAATAATAAATAAGAGAAAATTAATAAAATACAATAATAATATAAATAAAAATAAATTATTATTTTAATTTTATTATTTATTATATTATTACTATTATATTTAACTATTTCATTATTAATTTCATTATAATTTATTATTATTATTTATTTTATTTTAATTTTTTTCACAATTCATAAAAAGTGAAATTTCGTTATTTATAACAAAATATAAAATAAAATCATTAAATATTATTAAATATATATTGAGATACTTTTTTTGTTATTTGTAACAATAAAATAGAAGAAAACAGAATGATAATCTTAAAATTATTTGAAGTTTAACTTAAAAAAAAATAAATGGAGAAAATAAAAAAATAAGAAATAATAGATATATCCACAATTTGATTTTATGAATATTGAGAATTGATTATTTCAGTGACTTCAATATGTTCTATTTCTATAATAAAGTTCATTTCTAACATATGAGATTTAGAATGTTCCTCTTCTAGTGTGTTGCCAGTGTTGAATGTGTAGAACATTAAGTATTTCATGTTTTTAATAATGATTGTTCGTAGTATTTTGTTGAAGTCAATTTGTAATTTTAGTGTTTTTAATCTTCTTACTGATTCTTTATGTATTAATTGATTGTTAATATTACAAGTATTATTTCTACTTAAATTAATTCTCTATTTTGTCTTAGCTTCTCTTGTAATTGTTTGTATTTATTTATTTTGTAAATATAATTTAATTCGATGTTTCTATCTTGACATATGGTGACATCGATAATTATCCTTTTTTATCTTTGACGTTTTGATAATATATATCTGGTATTCTAACATTAAACGAATGGTCACTAACAAATAAATCTTTATTGTAAGTTATCCATTTCATTAATATTAATACACTTAGGAGGTGTATTAAAATCTATTTCATCAAATTCATTAAAATGAGTAATTAATATATGTTTATATATTTGTTTACATACATAATCATGTTTTGATATTTGATTCTTCTTCATTACATCCTAACAAAATGTGGCTAATAGATGGAATTGTGTTATAACAATGTTTACAATATTTTAAAGCATCAGAATGGAGTATTTTAGATTTAATACTTCAAATCATAATTACTCCTTCTTGTATCTTTATTACTTGGAGGAATATATTTCTTTTTATATTTAATGACATCCATGTAGTTACTGATAATTTCATATTATTAAATATACAATTTACATTTCTTATATATTCACTACATTTCTTTCCAATCATTTAAATATCTTTCATTTAATTTATTTGTTACAAATTCAAATACTTTGTTTACATCATGTTTTATTTCATTTAATTGTATTATATTTATTCATTGAAATTAATTTTCTTACCAAATGCTCTCTTCATTCTTTTAATTATTCCATTTTGGATTCTCTTTTACTATTTCTATCATTTCTCCTATTTCTGTATTTGATATTTATATTTTAAATATATTCTTATTAATTCATTACAATATTCATCTCGTATTGACATTAATCACATTCCTAATTCATTTATTGTTACATATAATCTACTTTTATGAACATTTCGACTATAATAATTAGAATTATATTAATAAATTTCTTATTTATTTATATATATATTCTCTAACTCACCAAGTTTTCATTTGATAATATAGAATCCATATCTTAATTTTGAGATTATATCATTATTAATTTTTCTTATTGTATTTCATAATATTTAATGATGATAGAATAGAAGATATATCATTTAATATTCTTGTACAATATTTAAAAAATAAAAGAACAAAATAAAATGGTCCATTCCTTTTTTTATTTGAAATCTTCCTACATCCTTATTTATTAGAGGTTAGAAAAAAAACAATTACAGTTTTTTTCTTTAGTGAATTTATTTTTCGTGTGGAGTGCTAGCCATTATCCGTCATAATGGCAATTTATTATAATAATATGTTATATATTACAATTATAATAAAATTTTGTTTAATCCAAAAACATAAAAAATAAAAAACCGAAAAATGGATAAATCCTCAAATTAAAAATAAAAACAAAAAAACTAAAAAATTATAAAAGATGAGTATCTCAGAAGGGAAGATAGCAGACGTAGTAAGAGCACGAAAGGTTATAGAGCCAATAATTGTTCAAGTAAGTAATGTACAATCAGTAGAGAAAACACAAGACGTAGTAAAAGCAAAAATACATGATAATAAATACCAAATTACTACTATTTTCAAGCTCAAAGACACTGGCTTGTTAAAGAGATTAAAAGACTTTATGCTTATTAAAGTTATACAAGGAAGCGTTCATGTTCCACAAAATATTACTAAAACCCTTGTTGTTGCAATTTCAAACTTTGAGATTGTTGATGCAACATTAAAAAAGTTTATTAATACACGTCAATTAGAAAAAATTGATCATTTAGATAAAGTTGGTACTGCCCCAATTGTGAAAACTGGAGTTCCTGTTTCACACCAACAAGCTGCACCAGCAGATCTTTCTAAAGGAAAGGTTACACCCTTTTCATTATTGACTACATTTGGTTCTAAATTAATTATTAAAGGAAGAGTAGTATCAAAGAATGATAAGTTTAAGTATGCTAAAGGAAATTTATTTAGTTTTGTACTTCAAGACAAAGATGGTGCTGAAATTAAAGCCACTTGTTTTAACGATGTATGTGATGAAAAATTTGATCAAATTAAAGTTGGAGAAACTTATTATATTACTAAAGCTGATTACAAACAAAGTAATGGGAAAGGATATAGAAGTGCTAAGATGATTGATTTAGATATGATCATTGGTAAATATACTATAATTCAGAAAAGTTCTGATGAAGTACCAATGATTAGTTCTATTGTTCCAATTGCTGATTTAGTTGAATCACCTGTAGATGCTACTTATGATATTTGTGCGTTTTTAGTAGATAAGGGGCCAGAACAAACATACAAAAATGAGAAAGCAAAAGTTACATTAACATTTATGGATCAATCAAGTTATGCTGTTGAAGTAGATTTTTGGAATGAGGATATTGATAAAACAAAAGATATGGAAAATGGAGTTGTTTATGTATTAACTTCATTGAGATTACGAGAATTTAAATATAAAACACTTACTGTTACTAAAGCCACTAAAATACTTTCTAATACAGATATTGAACAATATGATGAAGCATCTTTAGTGAATAAGTTCATTCAAGAACATACTACTACTGAAGGAATTACTGTAAGCGATTTAAGATATCTTGCAAATGAAACTACAGTAGAATTTAAAGCAGGAGATGTTAGAACAGCTGATCAATTGTATTGTTTAAGAAAACTTGAAGAAAAAACAACTGAAACTTCAGAAGATGTTAAAGCAAATGTATATGGATATTTTACTATGTTTAAAGTAGATAGTGGATTTTGTTATTTATCATGTCCTGATTGTAAAAAGAAGATTGCTGATGGTTCTACATTTTGTGAAAAATGTCAAAAAGATATTCAACCAATGAGACGGTTTATTGTTCGTGCAAGTATTGCAGATTCTACTAGTAGTGTTTGGGTTACTATATTTGATGAAGAAATGAAAAAAATTATTGGAAAAAGTGCAGATGAAATGTATGAAATGAATGAACAAGATTCAGAATCATTTGAAAATCTATTTAAACAATTAACATTTATTGAATGTAGATTCCATTTAGTATGTAAAAAAGATGAATACAATGGAGAAACAAGAACAAGATATACTGTAAATTTCATTCAAATATTAGACAGTATTGCTAGTGGAACTGAAGAAATGAAAAATTTAGAAAGAATGGCAAATGATATGAAAAATGGAATTATTGGAATGGAGGAAGGACATTAAAAAAATTATTTCTTTTTTAATAAATTTAATTGAATTAGAAAATTAAAAAATGTTAAATCGTTTAAATTTAAAAGAAAGAACAAATAATTATCTATTAATAAAACCAATTTGTGCTCCATCTGTACTTGGATGACCATTTGCAAAAGCAGTTGGATTAGATTCAGTACGTGTGTATATAGTTAGGTTTGGTGGGTTATCTTCAGTTTCTGTAGAATCATTTAATTCAAGTTCTAAATTTTGATGAAGTTCAATAGTATTATTATCTATATTTTCTTGTTGAATTGGAGAATAAAATGGTGGATTAACTGACCAATGTTTTATATCATTAGGTGATGTTTCATTAAATTGTTCACAAACTAAAGTACCATTTTTTGTATAAAATTCATTTTTTTCTTTTTTAATTTCTACTTTTTTTATCATAATTTCTTTATCATTTTCATTTAAATCTTCGATAGTATCACTTTGTCTTTGACCCATTGTTTTTTCTTTTTCTAATTGACGTTTAATATCACTATAACTTTCTTTACTTTGTTTTAAGTTAGTTTGATTTATTATTTCTTCTTTATTTTTCATTATTGATGCAACAGCAAATCCAAATTCAGTTCCTCTTGTAATTAATTCTTTTGCTGAATATGTTTTTGTTCCAAATGTTAAAGACGATACTCTTACTAACCTTGTAGTTATATGACATGGTCTTGTTTTTTTTTCACAAAAAGTGTATCCACGTCTTTTTAATAATGCCAAAACACCATTAGCAAATTTAGCTTCATCATTTCTTTTTCGTTGTTTTACTGTTGCTGTAGAATCAAGTTCTTCAGTTTGACAAATTTCATGAGACATATCCATAATTTCTTCTTTTGAATAAACTGTTTCTCCATCAATAAGTTGACTTGGTACAATCATTTTAACTGTTTTAGTTGCTCCTTTAGTCCGAGAATATTTCATTTCAAAATGAAAGTCACTGATTAAAATATCTAAAAATGAATTTGTTAATGCTGCTTCCTGGGTTCTTGATTGTTGTTTTTGTTTCTTTAAATAATCTTCATCTTTCTCAGTGTTCTTTGGTCTTGGCATAAAAAACACTTTCAGTATTAAAAGAGATCTTCCCTCTATTCCTCAATTTTTCTTTTTTATTAATTTTCATTTTCAATCAAATGAAAAATAAGAAGATTCTATTTATTGTTTGTTGGATTTTTGAGATCATTAATGAAAGAAGAAGAAGAAAATGAAGAAAATTTAATTATTCCTTCAGCTTGTATTTATGTAATATTTGTTCTTATTACATTATTACTTTTCTTAATGGCATGGGTTTTCTATACTATTATAATAACAACTATGAAAGGAAGTTAAAAATTTAATTACACGTTGTGTTTAGTTCTTATAAAACACTCAAAATTTAAAACATTTTTTCAGTAATGTTATTTTATATATTAAATTTAATTATAATACCTAATTAAAATTTTAAAACTTATTCAAAAACATTTTATTGAAAATAAGACATTTAACTAATACGTTTCTCCTTTTTTTCATACTCAAAAATGTGTCTTTAGTAATAAATAAATGAATAAACATAAATAAAACAAATTAAACAAATCACAACATAAAGGGTTATTTAAAAAACATTAATTTATTATAATTGTAAACATATAATTTGTTATTTTTTATTTAATAATAATATATTCAAAGACAATAAAGGTTTCTCCCATGGTACCATAACTATAAGGAATTTAAAAAGAGGTGGTCGACGTTACTACAAGCGTTATGAGTCAATAGGTACAACTAAATCTATGCTTGTAAAAAAATAATAAGATTTTGACAACCTACATTAACAAAAGAAAGAGGTTGGTAAGCTGATGTAGATAAGAAAAGATAATAAAAGGTCTAAAATGATAGAATGAATACCAGAAAGAATTAAAATAAGTTAACATAAAATGAATATAAAAAGTTTAATAATCAAATATATAGGAATTAAAAGAATACTATATTAGAACTATATTCAAAAAAGGTAATAAATTACTCTAAAATAAAATCTAACAAATATGGTGAGGTATTTAAATTGAATATAAATTATAGAAATAATAACAAAAAAAAGAAATAATTTGAAAACTAGAAAATAACAACTGGTAGAATAAAACCAATAAGAGATATCAGTAAATACCTAATGTGTACAATCTCATTACTCACCAAATAATAACTAACATTAATAATACTATAAGTTAAATGAAGGATCTAAAAAGATAGAAAGAATCAAACAAAATTAATATTAAATAGGTAGTTAAAGTAAAAAAGGAGTATAAACAAATAATACGATGTTGTGGATCAAGATTATTTAATAAAACAACACCACAACAAATGACAGTAGTAGTGAACAAGTAGGTGTTGTTAAAAATAAATTAATACAAAACCCAACACCAACAAAAATAAATAAACACATAAAATTAAAAGAATTTGTGTTAAAAGAAAACTAATATTGAAAGTAACCATAATTTCAAATGTAATAATAATAAATAAATTAATAAATTTATCAACTTCATTGATAAACATAAAAAATATAAAAATATCAAATAAAACCAGTAAAACAAAAAACAAAAATAGATTTAGAAATTAATATAGTTATTGAAATATAATTATTTAAGTAAATTAAAGTAAAAGACTTTTGTTGATAGAGAATTCAGGACTAAATGAGGATTAAATAAACATTCTTTTATTAATTAAATTAAAACACGACTATTTTTAATATTCTAATTACTTCATTTTCATTCTCTTTGGTTTGTTGTTAAATAGTTATTACATATATTTTTATAATTGTACTCTTTTTGTTAGTCTTTTTTCAATTTTTACTATTTTTTTAAAGACTTTTTATGACCATTTTCTGTTTCTACAACTATGGGTAAATTTATAAGTTAATTATTTGTTGGTTGTACACATAATTTGTTTTGAATTAAAAAGGAATAAGATAAAAATAGATTCATTTCTTTAAAAAAAATAGTCTTTTAAATGGAATAGAAAGAAAATATTACATGAAACAATCTCTTGTTATTTTATATTCCTTTTTTGTCTACAATAACGTTTCGTATAACATATCTGTACTTTGTTTTCATTTTTCGTTTTCATTTTTATTTGATTAGATAGATTCCTCTATAAATATTTTTTTGCTTAAGTTATTTTTATTCAGGTGTATAAAAAACATATAACAAATTAGAGAGTTGTGAGATTTATAGTGTATTATCATGGAATCCACTTAATAATAATTCAGAAAAAAAAAGAAAAGTCAGTGAATAGAATAGATATGAGCAAAAATATAAGAAAAAGAATAAAAAGAATAATTTAAGTTAAATGGAGTAAAAAGATTATCAGAGGGTTGATTAAATAAAAATAGATTGAATACTAAAAATAACAATATTTAATGAGTTGCTGATAAAGAATAAATTAAAAGAATATGTTACACATTGTACTATTCATTACTTTTGCTTTTGCAAATGAATCATTAGTCTTTACTGCATTAACAGATGATAATGGTGATGCCGTTGGTTTCATAGCAATAGAGTTCGGTAAGTGTTATTATTACAAAAATAATGCATCTGGATATTTTACTCATGATGGTGATAAGATTAAAGTCAAGCTATACGAGAATTCTTCCTCATGCTCTGGTGTTGGAATAGAACAAACTACTAATGTAAACGACGATAATTTGAAAAATTACTGTGAAGATGCAAACAGTTGTTCTGTTGAGATAAAACAACCACCAAAATATATTGGATCCCATAGCATAGTAGATGATGATGAGAATTGTACACATAGTGATAACACAATTAGAGCATATTATACAGATAAATGTTATAGATGTAATAAAAACAATGGTCAATATTGTAATTATATTCATGAAAGTGGGTATGTATGGGAAAGTGTTTATCCAAACAATAAATGTGAACTCGATGAAAGAATATCACGAACACCTCAATGGAAGTGTGACGTTTGTAATGATGGTTTTATATTCCAATGTGGGGAAATGTCAACATTTGTCATTCCTGTTCTTATTCTTCTTTCATTCTTCCTTTAAACTTTAACTTATTATTATTTTAAGTTATTATTTATTTTTTCATAGAAATAAGTGTTACATTTTCTTATCTTTTAATAATTAAACGAAAATAAGATTTATTTTTCTTTGAATGTTAATAAATTTCAAATTTCTTTAAATATACTTTTAATTATAAGTTTTATATATTCTTCCTCAACACAGTGGTTAAACAAAAAAGTTTTAATAACTTCAAAAACATCTCATTAAAGACTTTTTATCATTTGTTTGTTAAATTCTATTTAAATTATTTTTAACTTCCTTTTGAACTCTTCTAAATATCTGTGTTACATGTAATTTTTTGTTTTGAACCATTCCTATTTTTAATTTATTCGATTAGTACAAAAAGTAATACTTGAGAAAGATTAAAAAACACTAGTAAATCAATTCTACGGAGTTATTTCAGTAATAATTAATTCTAAAATGAATATAGTAATTAATAGTGTTATGTTAATCTTTACATTAAAGAGAATAATAATAATAAGAAACACAGAAAATCAGAAAAATATTAAACATTCAAAATGACTCAAAACAAAAGTAAGCTTTCAATAAAAAAATTAAATTGGTATTACCACATCATTTAATCTAAAAATAAAAAGTTCAACACCTTTTATAAACTTATGTATTGTGAAAATTAGAGAATGTAAAGGTTTGTGTGTCGAATACAAAAAGCATAAAAATAATACCTTATTCTAAATCTACAAAAAGGAAAACAATGAAACAATAATTTGTTGGTACTTGTTTAACTTATCTATTTCTTTATTAGTCATTTGCCTGATGTTTTTTTTAAATTAAAGTAAATGAAAGTTTAGAGAAATTTTTTTAAGAATAAAAATAAATTCTTAAATGAATTTGTTTTTATTATACTGATTCACTAATTATTAATGTATTAAAATGTATTATCAATTTACTAATAAGAAATATAAAATGCTATATAATGATAAAAGCTGATTAGTAAATAATACAAAAACAATACCCAGAATATAAGCTAATATTATTATATTTAATATGAAAGAGAAATATTGGCATAAATAAAAGTAAAGTAACTCTACAAAGTTTAATAGTGAAGAAAACTTATCATCTAAAAAATTACTTAAAAACAGATGCTAAATATTTATCTATTATTGGAATAATGTTAAGAATCAAATAGAACGTATTTTCCCAACTTATTATTGAGTATACTCTGATAGATATTTTTATTTACTCATTTAATTTATTAGTGTGTCAAATCAGTAATGAGTATAGTTTATTAAATAATCAAATTTAGACCATTTTTAAATATCTAATCCTTTTTCAGAATAACTATTGTCAAGTTTACTTTGATATACGACGATATTATCATAGTATAAAAACTAACAGATGTACTTTTAGGTTAATTCAACACTGATAAAAATAAACACCAATTTTTAAAAGAAATAAGAAATTAAAGATTAGTAGTTCCAATGTATATATTTATGACTCTGTTTTGATTTGAATAAAGATTTCGTTGTCATTGTCACAGAATGGAGCTAATGTAGATTCATGAAAAGCTTGAACAGATAATGTTTGGATGTTATTAATCACATTAACAATATGTTTATCAATAACAAATGAAAGATAAACATAAAAACAAATAATCAAGAAAGAAGGCAATGTGATGGTCCATGGGTTTGTGATATATGACATTCCAATAATGACCAAAACACTGGAACTAATCAAATACAATGAATATTTGTTAAATTTACTAAGAGAAATGAATATTTGTTATAATAACTCTAAATGACTTAATAAACAACAAACAAAGGTAATAAAGAAAAACAACATAACAAAAAAACTAATGAAGAGATGACTAATATTCCTATAATTCCTAACTTAATAATAATTGATAAAAAGATATTTGGAAGATGAACAAAGTTTAATAGAACTAATGAAAGTGTGTAATGGAAAAATGAAAACAATAGATAAGATTGTTGAGTTAAATGAATATTTTCAAAGGTTGTCTGAAATGGAGAATAAATAATAATTGATTGTTCTATAAAATATTTTCTAAGAGCAATATTTAAAGCAAATAAAGTGGCAATAAATGTAATGATAAATATATCAATATTTAATGTTAATCTTTTCATTTTCAAAGACATTAACACTAATTCCACTCCAATGATTTGCCAATTTAACATAAATCCAATACTTATTTGGTGAAGAATAGAATAATAATTGACAATAACAAAACAAGTACTGAGAAGAATAATATTAAATACTATTATTTTATCACGTTCAATTAAATATGGTTTAAGTGTTGAATTTTCTTGTTGATTAATAATACTTTTATCTATTCTATTAATTATAGGACTAAATATAATCATTCCTATAACAAGAATTATTGGAATATAAATCAAAATTTTACCTTTTGAGTCAAGATTATGATATAATGTCTTATTATCATTTTTAATTTTTGTAAGAATAGCAATTATATTTCTTGTTTTCTCAATACACCATTCCATCTTGATATTATTATTTTCAAGATACTTTTCTAAGTTATTAACAG